ACATCTACTGGTCCCACCCCATCTGGAGGAAGGGAGACTGAAGAAAACCAAAGACATAAGGGAAAGATTAGTCCAAAGGACTAATGGAACAAAACTACCACAGCCTCCACCAGACTGAGTCCAGTACAACTAGATGGGGCCCGGATACCACCGCTGGCTACTCTGACAAAAATCACAATAGAGGGTCATGGACAGAGCTAGAGAAAAAATGTAGAACAAAATTTTAACTCACAAAAAAAGACCAGACTTACTGGTCTGACGGACTGGAGAAATCCCAAGAGGATGGCCCCCGGACACTCTTTTAACTCAGCACCGAAGACACTCCTGAGGTTCACCCTTTAGCCAAAGATTAGACAGGCCCATAAAACAAACAATAATACATGTGGCTCAACCATGTATACAATACTAAATGGGCATACCAGCCCAGGGGCAAGGATGAGAAGGCAGGAGGAGACAGGAAAGCTGGACCAGTGGAAATGGGGAACCCAAGGTTGAGAAGTGGAGAGTGTTGACACACTGCGGTGATGGCAACCAATGTCACAAAACAATATGTATATTAATTGTTTAATGAGAAACTAATTTGCTTTGTAAACCTTCACCTAAAGCACAATTTAAAAAAAAAGAATTTAAATGGACTCAGTGACTGGATTGGATACGCACTTTGGAAAGACCCCTCTGGTTGCTGGGTGAGAAATGAGATGGATAGTGCAGAGCCTGGGAGACCACTCAGGAGGTCACTGGTGGTCATGGCCATGGAGATGCAGCAAAGAAGGTGGATGAGAGCTATAGGGCAGCTATGGGGCTTGGCGATCAGCTGGGGTGGGACAGGGGAAGACCTAGCACTTGTCACAACTGTGATTGAACAGCTCTTTGTGTAATTAGCTCTTAATGTCTTTCTTCTCCCATGCTAGACTGTAAGCTCCACAAAGGCCATGTCCCCAGCATCACTCAGTGCCTGGCACAGAGCACTGTTTGTTGAATGAATAAATGGCCCTGGACTTTGGGCAGTGCTACCATCCACTGAGATGGAAACCAGAGAGGAGAGGCAGCCAGGGAGGGAAAAAGTCCATCTGGTTGCAGAAAAGCTTTGGGTCCTTGAGGCACACAGTCTTACGGGACAGACAAGACACATAAACAACATATCTTTTAATCCATTTCCTGCCCATGAAGTCTTAGGCAAAAATAAACCAGTATGCAGATAATACTAGTACCTTCATTCTTAACTAAATAATAAGATTAAATGAAATAACCCATATAAGGCCCCTTAGGACAGGACCCAAGCGTTATTATTATCACCTTTTTCCTAGATGTGTTCTAATAAAAGGAGAAACCAAGACCTAAGAGGACAGAAGCAAACAGGTTGTCTAACTCTACCTGGCACCTGGGTCAGGGATACAGCTGAGGGAACATTGAAGGGAGATTTGGCTGCAGAGTTGTTGGGGGAAAGCTCGAGAAGGCCAAAGCTGCATTTTCAGTGAGCCTGAAACCTCCTGACTAAATATCTAGAAGCCTCCCACACTGTTAGCACCCAACTCACCTGGGTGAGTCCTTCCTGGACAAGACTGCCTGTAGTCCAGTCCTTTGTTTTTACAAGGCAGGAATTTCCGGGCCTGAGGCATTTGCATTAGGTATCTTGACCTGTTCTTGCAGCTGCTAAACCACTGATAATGCTTTCTCTGGAACCCGGTGGGCAGACAGAAAATAAGAAAGCTCTTCCTTATAGCTTTTGCGTCATAGTTTGTATTTTATTCCTTGTGTAGAGAGAAAATAGAACACCCACTCTCAGAGGCGTCAGTTGCTGGCAGGTCACCTTTGTACATTCTCTATATATATGTTTCTACAGGAAGGACCTTCAGAAGTCATCTTAGTCCAACTCACTCGTTTTACAGTGAAGCTAACAGAATGCCACAGAAGTAAACAGACTTGGAGTGCAAGGGATGTGGTTTTAGTCCCAGCTTGCTGTGACTGGGACAAGTTATTTAACCTTATTGTTGTTAGCTGCCATGGAGTCAGCCCCCAACTCATGGCAACCCCATGCACAACAGAACGAGACACTGACTGGTTCTGTGCCATCCCCTTTTATTGGTTGTGGATTGTACCGTTGCAGTCCATAGGGTGTTCCTTGGCTGATTTTTCAAGTAGATCACCAGACCTTAGTTCCTAGTCTGTCTTAGTCTGGAAGCTTGGCTGAAACCTGTTCAGCATCTTAGTAGCACGCAAGCCTCCATTCACAGACAGGTGATGGCTGCACACGAGGTGCCTTGGCCAGGAATCAAACCCGGGTCTTCAGCATGGAAGGCGAGGATTCTACTACTGAACCAGCAATGCCTCCTTGGAAGCTGTCTTAGTTATCTAATGCTGTGTCTTAGTCCTTCAGTACTGCTGTAACAGAAATACCACACGTGGATGGCTTTAATGAACAGAAATTTATTCTCTCACAGTCTAGGAACCTAGAAGTCCAAACTCAGGGTGCCAGCTCCAGGGGAAGGCTTTGTCTCTCTGTAGGCTCTGGGGGAAGGTCCTTATCATCAATCTTCCCCGGTCGAGCAGTTTCTCAGCACAGGGACCCCAGGTCCAAAGGACACGCTATTCTCCTGGCTCTTGTTTCTTGGTGGTATGAGGTCTCAGTGTCTCTCCACTGACTTCTCTCTTTTATATCTCAAAAGAGATTGATTTAAGACACAACTTAATCTTGTAGATTGAACCAGGCCTCATTAACATAAAGCCTCTAATCCCATCTCATTAACATCAAGAGATAGAATTTACAACACACAGGAAAATCACATCAGATGATAAGATGGTGGACAATCACACAATACTGGGAATCACGGCCTTGCCAAGTTAACAGATATTTTGGGGGGACACAATTCAATCCATGACAGAAGCCTTATTACTCCTCAGTAAAATAAGGATAATAAAACTTTTCTCTTGGGGATCTTCTGAGTAGTGAAGGCCATCATGGAGCTGAAGCTCGCTGGCAGCTGGCAGTAGGGAAGCTCAGCACCTCCTCAGAGAGCTGTCTCTACCGCTCGACCTGGTGCTACTGTCTCCCTGACGTTTTTCGCTATCTGAAACTGCTTGTGTTTACTTGCTGGTTTCTTTCTCACTCCTGTCTCCACTAGAAAGTAAAACTCCAACCCAGCAACTAGGACTAATGTGTCTAGCACATTATTGGCATTCAATAAATGTGGAATAAATGGCACTTTGGGGTCACTCAGGACCTCTCAGGGATGAGATCAAGCCTTGTTTATTCAAATTACACAACTGTCCATGTTGGACACTTTAGGTAAATTATTTCAGTAACATTGAGAAGCTACCAGCCTAAGAGAGATATATTTAGCTACGTGGACAAAGGTGTAGTTCATGCATGCAGGCCCTGGAAAAGAAGAGCAAATAAAATGAAGGCTTTTTTGTACCAGTACCTCCTTTGCTGGAAGCCAGTATTCAGGTAAACCAGGAGACAAACCGGGGTCCTGGGAATAGGGATCAGAAGAAAATGAATGCCAGGTAGATAAGACAGGGTTGGGGGAAAAAATAGCTGGATTGGCTTTCCTGGAATTCTGATTCCTGGCTTTCTAGGATGGTGGTGTGTTGGGTTTTCAGAAATCATATGTTGAGCCAGGGTAACTTAGTGGTAAAGCACATGGGCTCTGAGTCCAAAACTAGCTCCATTCCCTATCTGCTCTGTGATCTGGAGTTAGGTTTATCCCCTACCTGAGCCTCAATTTCCTCATCTGTAAAATGGGATAATAATACAAGCTTCTTTACAAAATTACCTTGTGGTTAAATGAGATCAGGTATGCAAAGGTCAGCATAGTGCTTGGCACAAGGGAGCGGCTGAATAATTTCTAACTATATTGTCATCCAAATGAACCATTGGGATCCAACATGGAGACATGGCTGCCAGTTAGCTGCAGAGCCTAGGCTGGACCCAGGGCTCCTGAGTTCATTCTCTTTCTGCTATATGAGGTAGATGCCATTTCTTGTCCCCAAGGTTCTAACAGGGGAGCCTGAATATGTAAAAAGTAAATCTCAGAAACATACAAGGGCAACAACTGGGGCTCAGCATGTGCAGTAGAATAGGCCTGTGCCTTGTGATTTTTAGGATCTCTAGAAAGTAAGACACCCCCTCTTGCCCAGAATGATGGTGATGAATATAATTTACTGAGTGCTTATTATGTGCAAGACGATTTATTAATGCTTTGGATAAATTACTTTATTTAATCTTGAAAGCAACCCTAGAAAGCAGGAGCCATTATGACTCCCGTTTTATACATGTGGAAATGTAAGGCCATAAGAAGGTTAAGTAATAAACTCAAGGCCATAAAACTAAGAAAGCTCGAAACTGAGCCTCTAATCGGAACTCCACAGTTCGAGAGCCCTGCCTTTGGATCATAGCATTGCCCCCTGCAGAAAACACAAAGACACATTAAGACTTGGGGTTCCTGGGTGGTGCAAATGTTTAGCATGCTCAGCTGCTAACTGAAAGGTTGGAAGTTTAAGTCCACCCTGAGGCAGCTTGGAAGAAAGGTCAGGCTATTTACGTCCAAAAAGTCAGCCATTGAAAACCCTATTGTTACAGATTGAATTTTGTCTCCCCCAAAATATGTGTTGTAAATCCTAACCTCTATGCCCGTGGTTATAATCCCATTTGGGAACGGTTGTCTTTGTTATATTAATGAGACCAGATTAGTGTAGGGTGCGTCTTAAATCAATCTCTTTTGAGATACAAAGTGATTAAACAAGCAAGCGAAAGAAGCAGATGGGGGGAAGAGAGATGCCAAGCCACATGAAGATCATCCAGGAGCAGAAGCTCAAAGAGACAAGGACCTTCTCCCAGAGCTGACAGAGAAAGAAAGCCTTCCCCTAGAGCTAGCACCCTGAATTCAGACTTCTAGCCCCCTAAACTGTAAGAAAATAAATTTGTTTGTTAAAGCCACCCACTTGTGGTATTTCTGTTATAGCAGTACTAGATAACTAAGATACCTATGGACCCTGGCACAGGTTGAAAATCACCTGCAGCTTTGCCCATGGTCTCGGGTGAGATTCTGCACCCAGAGCCACCAGGGACCTCAGGCCCCGACAGGCACTGCCTCCCTTAGGCCCCGGGGCACCTCCGCATCGTTCAGCATCTGACCCTTCCTCTCTCATAAGGACACTGATGCCCAAGCCTGCGGGGAGAGGGAATGCTGGCTCTCCTCAACTCTCTAATACAGCTGTGTGTCTAATGGGAGAAAAAAAACAACGCCAATAGCCCTAGGGAGCACAGTTCTACCCTGACACACATGGGGTCTCCATGAGTAAGAGCTGACTCTATGGTCACTAGTTTATATTAAGCCTTGCCAGTTATGCACACATTCAAGATGTATGAATCTGTTCATTGCAGAATCGCAAAGTTGAAAGGAACATTAGCAATAATAATAGCTAATACTGTACCAAGTATTGTCGTAAGTTCTTTAACCCTTAAAAACAAAAGTACAAAGTAGGTACTATACTGGAACTGTTATTACCCTTGTCTTCCAGATGCAGAAACAGAGGCACAGAGAGTTTAAGTAATTGTCCCTTGGAGTGACATGAGCTAAACCCAGACCACAGGCAATATCGTGTTCCTAACTTTGCACTGTCCTGCCTCTTGGCAGACTATCCACCCTGTGGTTCTATAATTTGTTTTTAGACTCAGATAACCCCTTCTGAATCTGAAAAAAAAAAAAAAAAAAAAGCCATAAAACCTCTCCTCAGACACATTCCTGGGAGTTCCCAAAGCCTCAATCATTTATCACAGAACCTCCAAAAATAACCTCATCTCAGCCCAGACCCTCTGCCTTATGTCTCCCTACAACATCCTCATCCATGGCCTTCAGCCTTGGCTTGAGTGTCTTGAAGAACAGGGAACTCACTCCCCAGTCAGCTCATTCTTCCAACAGCAAGATTCAGTAGAAACTTCTTCCCTCTGATGATAGAACATTTGCTTCTCTGGGACCACTGCCCTGGTTCAAGCACACACCAGCTCCCCTGCTACCCTCCCACCCCTGCAGAGAGCCCTTCTATGGTGGTTCTAAGTCCCTCCCACCTCTCCTTCCTCAAAGCCCTCACTCTGCTGCTTTTCTCCTCTGCAAAGTCTCCCTCTTAAAGTGAGAGGTGCAGAGATGAGGGTGATACAGTTTCAGGAAGGATGTACTGTTCCTGCTCAAAGCAGGTATGGATGTAGGGGAACTGAAAGGCCCCTGACTATCCAGGAAAGGCAGCTCTAGATGCCTAGCCACTGGTGGGAGCCTTTTCACTGGCTTGCTGTGCAACCTTGGCCAAGAGACTGCACCTCTCTGGACCCACATTAGTTCTTCTGCCCTAGAGTCAGCCCCCGACTCACAGTGACCCCATGTGCAACAGAACGAAATGCTGCCTGGTCTTTCACCATCCCCATGATCGGCTGCAAATCGGACCGTTGTGATTCTGCAAAATTAGGAGAGTTTAAACACATGGGGTCGCCATGAGTTGGAGTTGACTTGACAGCAACCAACAACAGCAATGACAATTAGAATGGGACTGTAAACCCAAATACTGGGGCCAGAACATGCTAGAAACAAATGGAAGAGCTGGGTGTTTGGGAATGCAACATCTAGGAATATTCCTTTCCTCCACAGAGAGGTAGGTTCTCTGCTGATTTTCTTGGAACATTTCATTTCTCAGTCTTTCGTTTCCCATTTTTTACGGAGTCATGAGAGTAGACAAAATATCTCAAGTAATACAAAAAAAAAAAAAAGTGAAGGAAAATGACACCTGGTCTTGGCATCAGTGAGGGACAGGGACCGTGGCCAGCTGGACGCCCACATCCTGTCTACAGGCACGCTGATTCAGCATCGGCCCATTGGACCTTGGGTTATCAGATCTCAGGAGTTTTCTAGAGAAGTTGGGCAAGCGCATTTTTTATGTGAACTCTCCCAATTTTTTAAATGCTGGCTCAAATTTTTCTTAAACAGCGGGAGGGCCAAATGCAACATGTCCCAGAGTATGAGACAAAAGTCTGCCATCTCTGGATTAGATGTTTCTAAAGCTCTTGAACGTTCTGTGGAGGGAGAAGTGAAGAAGGAAGGAGGGGTGGAAGGAGGGAGTGGAGAATCTCTCTGGGACCTGAAGGGCTGGTTCAGCAGAGGGTTGCGGGGAGAGGGGCAGGAAGACCTTTCCATTCTATAAAGCTTTGTTTAGGTTAACCCTTCCTTTCCTCTTGCCCTCTGTTCTCACTTGGGAGAAATGTAATGGCCCCAGGCCTCAGGAGTATCTGAGCAGGTCTGAACAGGATGCTCCAATTTGTGGCTGGAGAGGCGGGGCTGTGGGGGGGGGGGGTGGTGGGTGGTGGGGGTGGGGTGGCGACACAGCATCCCAGACCAGAGGGACCGCTGGGCCTCAGCCTCAGGCTGGACTACACCCTCCTCCCTGGCCTGCTTCTAGCTCTGGAGAAGCCCCGGATGTCATTCCGACAGGCCTCTGGATCAGGAAGGGAGCAAGCATGAAGCCATGGTCGGCATGGCTGACCGCCAGGCTGGCAAATGGCCAGAGCTCAGAGCTCACTGGGAAGGAACGTAAACAAGGCCCTTGGTGGGCAGCTGTGACCCAGAATCTTCCAGCTGAAGAGTAGTGAGGAGGGAGGGGGAATACCCAGGGGTCCCTGTCCCTATGCCTGGTCCCCCAGGCTGCTCAGGACTCATATATCAGACAGGGCAGGATGAGGCTCCCCGGGGCACCAGGCAAGCAGCTGTCACATAAAGCATTGGATAAGCCCACTTTTAAGGGGCCTTTCAGCTCCAGCCTCCTGGAACTCTGTGATTCCAGGACTCTGATTCAGCTTTTCTTCATGGTATGATATTCTCTGTATAGAGGACATCCGTGGTTTTCCCTTGCCCAGCATCCACTCCACTTCTTCTGTTAGCAGCACCCTAGTTACGCTTTGTGAACCACCCCTCCTCCACTCTGTCTGTGTGGTTTGGGTGAAGCCAATCTTGCTTTTTTACCCTCCTGCTCCAAGGTGGCCATGTGAGCCAGACCTAGCCAATCAGCAGATTTCTTCCTCTGCTGGGTCCAATGAGACCCAACCCCAGGAATTTTGCTGAAACTACTGGGGAATGTAAGATTGCCAGCAATTGGCTTGATGCTGTCTCGAGGTGCTGGGACCATCTGGGAGGAGCTTGCCTGAGAATGAAGCTATCACAGAGGAAGACAGCATGGAGGGAGAAGAAGGTGAAGGAAGAGGGAGAGGAGAACAGAGTGATTGATTAATTGTTGTGTCTAAGAGAGAGGAAACCTGAGACTTGATAAAGTGGTGTGAGCCCCTGGATCCAGCTTTAACTGAAGCAGTTTCTAATCCCCACACTTTTGAATTGTATGTGCAAAAAATTCCTCTCCTCTCCTCTTTTTTTTAAACCAGTTTGAGTTGGATTTGTAGCATTTGTAACTGGAAGTTCTCACCCTCACATTTTTCAGTTCTTGCACTCTGATTGATTCTTATGTGCTATGATTCCCATAGTCTGTTGTAATCTTCCATGACTCCAACATTCCACACATGTCTGTAATTTATGCTATGATTTATCTAAGGAGTAAATTCTACTTTATTTTTGCAGGGAAGAAACCAGCAGTGACCTTGGCCCCCCAAAACCTGCCCTGGTTGCCTGGAATTCCAAGGATTTGCCCAGGAAGCCTCAATAATCCTGCCCTGAATTCCTGCCCTGCCCCCACCCCAACATACACCACTGGCAACCTGGTCTCTGCCTAGACCCACAAGGGAGATGTCACAGGCCCTGGTGGTGCCTTTGCTCACTCATTTGTTAATTCAACGAGCATTGATGGAGCACCAGCTGTTAAAAAAGAAGTTCTTATCCTCAGAGATCCTTGAATTTGGTGAAGAAAGCAGAACAGTAAAAAGATTTTCATTAGAATGTGATTAGTGCTATGCTAGAAGCACAGAAGGAGGGAGCTAGGGGGTAAAACGCTGCAGACATGACATGGAAACTTCCTGAAGGAAGTGACCCCTGAGCGGATTCCCAAGGGATGAGTAGGAGTTAGCCAGGGTGGAGGGTAGAGGAAGAGCTTTTCAGGCAAAAGCAGCAGCATGATACACAGGGGGTGGGAGAGACCACAACCAACCTGTAAGGGGAACTGCCTAGGGTTGAGTGGGGAGAGGTGGGACTCTAGACCAAGGCAGGGCCAGGTAGGGAGATTTCTGGAAAATACACCAAGTAACACAGCCCCAACCAGGGTAGAGGATCCCATAAGGCAAAGGGGTGATGTTTGACAAGCCATCTTTGATGAGTACTGCTTCCTGCATTTATGAACACACAGATAGTAGGCAACATTTAGAGTTTATTTGGGGAACATTCATATTTATACAGATATCAAGCAACACAACCCAGTCCCAAACCCAGGCCAGGGATAAAGCCTGACTCATGCCTAGAGAAGAAAAAACAAGCTGTCAGATCCCCAGGCTGGTGGGGCATAACAGAGTCCTTAAGCACAAGTATTGGTGAACTCCCTGCCCACAGAAAGAGCCTAGACCTTTCCCTATTGGAAATTAATGTAGGCCACTGAGAGCAGGGCCCAGCTGTACTTGGCATCCATCCTAGTCTGGAAGGCTCCGTTGAAACCTGTTCAGCATCATAGCAATATACAAGCCTCCGCTAACAGACTGACGGTGGCTACGCATGAGTGGTTGGAATCGAACCTGGTTCTCTTGCATGGAAGGCAAGAATTCTACCACTGAACCACCAATGCCCTCAGAAGATAATAACAGTACAGATTAAATAGAGTAATGCTTATATAGTGAAGCAGTTATGAATTATTTTGCTTAATAGACCTTTTTATGTTGTTTGTGTAGAATGCCTTTCTTTGGGGCCCACACCATTCCATACGGTCTGCTAAGGCTTTTCATCACAGAGCCTTGGCCTCTTCTTGGCCACATGGCTAGGGGAATGACCATGTCCAGCCAATCATGGTACCCTCTTCTTGACCAGCAGTTGGTCCCTGGGGTGGCCTCAAACCTCAAACAGGCCCACCAGTGCCTGCCTTGGGAAAGAATCTCTCTTCCCTGGGTTTGTGAGTCT